AAAAATACAAAAATTAGTCAGGCGTGGTGGCATGCACCTGTAATCTCAGCTACTAGGGAGGCTGAGGCATGAGATTCACTTGAAACTGGGAGGCAGAGGTTGCAGTGAGCCAAGATCACGCCACTGCATTCCAGACTGGGCGACACAGATTGAGACACTGTCTCAAAACCACCACCACAACAAAATGTTAATACTCTCCAAACTGATCTATAGATTCAATGCAATTCTAATATCATCTCAAATGACAGCTTTGTACAAATCTACAAGCTGATTCTTAAATTCATATAGAATTGCAAGGGACCCAGAGTAGCCAAAACAATTTTGAAAAAGAAGAATAAAGTAGGAAAACTCATACGTCTCAATTTCAAAACTTACTACAAAGCAACAGTAATCAAGACAATGTGGTACTGGTAAAAGGACAGACATATAGAGCAGTCAGAGAGTCTAGAAATAAATTTATATAGCTATGGTCAATCAACTGATTTTTGACAAAAGAACCAAGATCATTCAATGGGGAAAGAATAGTTTTCTTCAATAAATGATGCTGAGACACTGGATAACCACATGCAAAAAAATGAAGTTGGATACTTACCTCACACTATTTTAAAAAATTAACTCAAAATTGGTTAGTGACATCATGGAAGAGCAAAAACTATAAACCATTAGAGAAAAATATAGGGGTATATCTTCATGACCTTAGATTCAGCCATAGTTTCTTAGATATTATACCAGAAGCAAGAGCAACACAAGAAAAAAGTAAATGTATTAGACACCATCAACATTAAGAGCTTTCGTGCTGAGGGGTTTGTATCTAGACTATGTAAAGAAGTCTTTCAGGCTGGGCACAGTAGCTCACACCTGTAATCTCAGCACTTTGGGAAGTTGAGGCAGGAGGATTATTAGAGATCAGGAGTCTGAGACCAACCTGGCCAAAATGATGAAACCCCATCTCTACTGAAAATACAAAAATTAGCTGAGAGGCCGAGGCAGGAGAATCCCTTGAATCTGGGAGGCAAAGGTGGCTGTTAGCTGAGATCATGTCATTGCACTCCAGCCTGGGTGACAGAGTGAGTGAGACTCCATCTCAAAAAAAAAAAAAAAAGGAACTATTTCAACTCAATAATAAAAAGCCAAATAACACAATTTCAAAATGAGCAAATGTCTGAATAGATGTTTACCAAGAAAGAGATACAAATAAATGGCCAATAAGCACAGGAAAAAATGGTTGACATTTTAGTCACTAAGGAGACACAGACTGAAGCCACAGTGAGACACCATTGCACACAGTAGGCTGGCTAGAATAAAAAGTCAAATAGCAATTAAGTGTTGGTGAAGATGTTTGAAAGTTAGAACTCTCATACACTACTAGTGGGAATGTAAAATGGCACAACCACTTTGGAAAACAGTCTGGGTGCTCCTCAAACTATTAAACATAAGATTACCAGAAGTAACCCAGCAATTTCACTCTTAGGTATATGCCCAAGAAAGATGAAAACATTTGTCCACACAGACACTTGTATTCGAATGTTTATAGCAGCATTATTATAAGAGCCTAAAGGTGGAAACAACCCAAATGTCCATCAACTAGTGAACAGATAAATGAAATGTGGCACATCTATGCATGGAATATTACTGGGCCATGAAATAGAACAAAGTACTGATATACTACCATAACATAGATGAACCTTGAAAACATTATCGTAAGGGAAAGGAACCAGTCACAGAAGACTACATCCCATAGGATTCCATGTATAGAAAAGTCCAGAGTAGAGCAATCTATAAAGAAAAAACCTGGATTAATAGTTGCTTAGGGCAGGGGAGGACAGTGGGTAGAGAGTGAGGGAGCATATAGCTAAAGATTAGGGGGTTTCTTCTTGAGATGATGAAAATATTCTAAAATTGACTATGGTAATGGTTGCACATATTTGTGAATGTGCTAAAGGCCACCAAATCACACACTTTAAAGAGTGAATTGTATAGTATGAGAATTATATCTCAATAAAGCTTTAGAAACAAACAAACAGGACCAGGCACAGTGGCTCATGCCTGTAATCCCAGCACTTTGGGAGGCCATGGTGGGTGGATCACCTGAGGTCAGGAGTTCGAGACTAGCCTGGCCAACATGGTAAAACCCTGTCTCTATAAAAACAAAAAAACAATAACCAAATCCACCCAAGGACTGTATTTGATGACTTTTCAGAACATTGAAAACTTTGAACATCTAGTGCAGATTCGTGAAGGTTTAGCTTCATGGATGTGTTTATTTTGCAATTAACAAAGGTTAAAGGTACATTCTCTAGTCTCTCGAAAACTGTTACTTGGGAGCTTAGAATTTCTAGTTATGATTCTAAGCACAAGAACAGCACTTGTCATGCCTTTCAAAGGAGAATGTGTTTGCCTTATTAACAAATCAAGAGTACTAAGTTTCTATTAAAAGAGCAGAATAAAAAAAGATTAAATGGCTTATTTGCTCATTGTTTGCAGAAGTATGGTAGTGAATAATAGCATTTCAAGTTCTTTAAAAACATACATTAAAGTCCATTTAAATCTTCTAAGAGTGACATCAATAACCATAAAATAGAAGCTGAATGAGTATTTCAAGTTAAAATTAATTACTAGACCAACTACCGGCCATAAGCCGTTAAACTAAATACAGAGTCATTGAGATAGGGATAAGAGGAAAAGAAAAATATAAATCCTGATGAAAGGGCCGTAACAATATCTGGATAGGAGGATAATAACAGAATCGGTTAGATGCAGAACTGGAGAAAGAAAAGGAAAAGAAAAGCCTGTGTGAAATATTTAACTGGATGTTGAAAAATATGATAATTTTGATAGGCTCATTTTTAAAAACTAACTTCTCACATGTTTACCAATGGCTGGATGTGCAAATGGACAACAATTTTTATCATGCAATAAAATGAGTTTTAAAAATATAAGGTAGGGACAGGCAGGGTGGCTCATGCCTGTAATCATAGCCCGAGGGAGGCCAAGGTGGACAGATCACTTGAAATCAGGAATTCAGCACCAGCCTGGCCAACATGACGAAACCCTGTATCTACTAAAAATACAAAAATTAGCCTGGTGAGATGGTGTGCATCTATAATATATCTATATATATATATATACACACTACTAAATATATATGGTAGACCTGGTAATATTTATTTATTTATTTATTTATTTATTGAGACAGAGTCTCACTCTGTTGCCCAGCTAGAATGCAATGGCACCATCTTGGCTCACTGCAACCTCTGCCTCCTGGGTTCAAGCAATTCTACTGCCTCAGCCTCCTGAGTAGCTGGGACTATAGGCACACGCCACCACGCCTGGTTAATTGTTGTATGTTTCGTACAAACAGGGTTTTACCATGTTCAAGACCAGCCAAAGCCAGGCTGGTCTTGAACTCCTGACGTCATGATCCATCCGACTCAGCCTCCCAATGTGCTAGAAGGTGCAAGCCACCGTGCCAGGCCCAAGCCACCACTCCAGTCCCAGTAATTTTTTTCAAAAAACATTCTCTTGTACCTATGTCTTATGTTTAGCAAAAAAAAAAAAAAAAAAAAAAAAAAAAAAGGAAAAGAAAATTGAGTTCCTAGACTTAATCATTATTTTCTCTGTCTGAAGGGCTAGTAGGAGGGGTCAAGCCTCTAAAAGGGAGATCTTTGCAGATTGGCAGCAATGTGAATGAAAGAAAATTACTGAATATTTGTCAGTTAGAGGAAAGCCAACTCAGTGTCTATAAGAATAAGTCATTCTTTACTATTCTTTCAGAAGGAAAACAAATTTACAGAGAAAGAGGGGAAAACATGAATTTATTTGATTTTGGGAAAATCTTTGAAAAATTTTCACACCAGTCGCTATTCCTTAATTGAATTAGCTTAGGGTTTTACTATGAGAAAAGAATTAACATCAAGGTAGTAGGGCAGAGACGTCATTAAATGGAGAAGTGTAAGTTGTGGTATTTCCTCAGGAAGCAATTATGGGTCAGTCTGATGTAATAGTTTATTATATTTTGGAAAAGACAGTAAAATCTCTACATTTGAAAATGATACTAAATTTCTATAGGGAGTGAGATGTCAAAATGACAAGGATAAACTATGCAAAGCAAAAACAGAATAATTGTGGCCTATATATAAGTTAACAAGCACAGTAGTGAGGAAATTATCCAAGCTCTAGTTATATATGGATTTCATTGCCGAGTCACCATGGGGCACAGGACTCTAGGCGTCACTGAGGCTGCTTTTTAAAGATATCCCAATGTGCTGCTGACAGTCAAAAAATCAGCACAAGATTACTGGAAACAAGATGACTGACGCTGTTGACTTTCCTATCCGTGAACAACATGGCTGTCATGACGCCTCTCAGCACGTTTGGCTCTGAGACCCAGAAGCATGAATGGAAGCAGCTGGCCGTGCAGGGCATGCTTTTCTACCCTGTGCAGTCGTATCACACAGCATGGCCATGCTTACGCATGAGGACAGAATGTGGGTTGGCCACATCACTGGTAAGAACCCAGGTAGCATTTCTTGGGCTCTGATAGGTACCAGAAAATGGAGGAACGTTTATTGAGAAGTTACAATGTGAAAGGCACTCTGCTGGGTTTAGGAAGGATATGCAGATAAATTAGACAGTGTGCTTGCCTACTTGGGCTCCAAATCTACTCAGAGAAATAGAACTATTGTAATATGGAGGAGTTGATAATTATGCTGTCCGAGAGGTACGGCTGTGGCTGTTCAGAAGAAGGGTAAACAAATTCTGTTAGTTATTTATGCATCAGTTAATTCAACTAACATTTGTTGAATACCACTGTTCATTCATGTATTAATCAATATTTATTTATTGCTGTGTGCCAGCCACTTTTCTAGGTGCTGGGATATAGCAATAAACAAGACAAGATCCCTATTCTCATAAAGTTAGGACAGATTTTTAAAGGGATCAAAATAGATGTGATAACATTAAATAGATAAGTGCAGTGAAGAAAACAACACAAACCATGTGATGGAGTGGCTGGAGATTGGTGGCTCCTTTATATGGGGTCAGAAGAGGTATCCCAGCGAGGTGGTCTGTGATACCTGTTGATGAGAAGGAGTCTGCTGTGGGAAAATGCCCAGGGAGAGCTTTCCAGGCAGAGGGAACAGCAAGTGGGAAGGCCCTGAGGTGGGAAGGAGCTTGGTGTGCTTGAAAAGCAGATCAGTTATCGCTCAGCAAGCCTGGAGAAGCCAGAGAGACAAGGCTTGAGGAAGACCTGGTTCTTGCTTTGGTGGATCTCTCAACCCTCACAGCCCAACAGAAGAAAGAGAACATGTCAGCAAGTATATGATAGCATGCAAATTGCACATATTTACAAGGCAGATCAATTTTCTTTTAAATGTGAAACAGGAGTGAAAGATCATAGGTTATGAATTATACTTTCAGAAAGAGCTAGGAGCATAATGTTCAGGAAGAGGGACTGTGGACAGTATGGACCAGGGTACCATAAACACAAAAAAATCTGGACACAGGGTGGCTGTCAAACCTGTAATTCCAACACTTTGGGAGGCCAAGGTGGGCAGATCACTTGAGTCCAGGAGTTCGAGATCAGCTTGAGCAACATGGTGAAACCCCGTTCCTACAAATAAAACAACAACTACAAATTAGCCAGGTGTAGTGATACATGCCTGCAGTCCTGGCTACTCGGGAGGCTGAGATGAGAGGACTGCTTGAACCCAGGAGGTGGAGGTTGCAGTGAGCTGAGATCATGCCACTGGACTCCATCCTGGGGGACAGAGCAACACTCTATCCCAAAAGAAAAAGAAAAAATCTGGACCAGGCTAAGTAAACTGTCCTGTGGGAGTAGTAGCAGCTGCAAGAACGGCAAAGAGCGTACTGTCCCGGACTGGGATATGGGCTGCAAGACTAAACTCCTTACACTGCAGGGTTTGAATGACCCTTGAAAGGTCAATCAAATCCACTTCCTCTTCCACCAGAAACCTCTCAGGACTCACTCTGGGGAGGAGAAACACTTTACATGTCATGCCTTGCAGTGTATCATTAGGGCTTCATTTCCTTGGATATTTAGTCTTTAAGAGGTCTCTGTTATGAGAGAATGGCAGCACCTTGGTATGAACTTATAATTATAATTATAGTCCTTCCATGTTTATAACAAGGCAAGAGATAGTAATGAGGCACTTGCAGCTTCTGAATCAGAACAGAGTAAAGAGATGGTTTTAAGGAGGCAGCAGACACAGCCTTGTGAACCAGGTACCCTGTTCATGGACTTGCCTCATTGTGGATCCTAGAGAAAATTTATTATTCGAAGTCTCAGTTTCCTCATCTGAAAGAATGTCAGCCTGAGAGATTTGTTACAGAGATTTAATTGGATAATTTAAATGAAAGTGCCTGCCAGATTCAGTAAATGCTAAGTGGTCTTTTTTCCCAGTCAAGCCTGTGGCCCCAACTCACCCAAATCTTGGGGGCCCTCTCTGGGTGGGGAATAGGGAGTCCACAGATCCTAAGGAGAAAGGGCAGAAAGAAGGTGAGGTGAGTAGGAGAAGCTAGTACTACTTACGAGGCAATGAATTGAGGAAAGATGTGTGAAAAATGAAGTTTAGCTTCATGCCAAAAAGGATTCTGAGAAGAGAAACTCTGGAAGTTCTGGAGTAATGTATTTTATCCCTTCTTAATGCAGGAAGCTAACACAGACATTGGTTTCAATGGTGTTAAAATATAATAGGGCTAAAATCATTTATTGCCAGGATTTTGATAACAAAATCCAAACATAAGAACTATCAACCCCACTTGCCAGAATTTAAACCAAGTTAAGCTCAAATCAATGCGCAGTATATCCAACAAGGGAAAACATTTTTTACACTGCTTGACCTGGGATTCCAGCAAACACTCTTTAGCTTTGTAAATTCATAGGCCCCTTTAATACCATGTTAGTCTAGGTTCATGGTATTCCTTGCCAGGAAAATGGGTTTTTCATTTGGTGATGGCTCAATGGCCAGACTGAACAGGGCTTTTTAGAAACATTGGAACTCTCAAATGTCACTAGCGGCAGTCAATGCAATTTCAAGCACATGCAATTTTAGTTAATGTAATCATTTAAAGAATGAAGAAGGCAGAAAGAAGGACGCTGGTGTCAGAGGGATTGCAAAATCTATTGAAATGGCATCTACTGAAGTAGGAGTCAGGAGACGTAAATGAGGCCCTTAGTTCTATTAATAAATCAAGGTAGGACTCAATTGGATGAAGTGACACATGTCTAATGTTTTTCATTCTTAATGTACACACAACAGGTTCAAACCAGCCTAGCAGAGATTCAGACACTCGGTGGATTGGCCAATTTGGTCTGAGGCAAGGAGGCACTCCCAAACATACCAGACTCCTTGGAAATATGTTAAGTGGTACTGATGATGGCCAGGGCTGCCAAGGATGTCAAATGTATTTAAAAGTGAGTGGAGCCCAAGCCTGCTGCCCTCTGGGTGAAGACATGGTTGATTTCAGGAGGATATGATTCTTTTTCTGTGGTATGAGCAGGAGGCCCCCAGCCAAGGATGTTACCTGACACAGACAACATCAACATAATATGAAGGACGCTAGAGTTTCAGCTCTTGCCTTTGTGAAAATAGTGAGAATTGTGTTATCATTGAGATGAGAAGCATTTGCCTTTTTATTTTCTTTGTTTAATTTCCTTTTAGGAAGGGCAGTACAACCTTGAGCTGAAGGCAGACTATCAGCTAGATTCCCTGGGTTTCAACACTGCTCTCCCACTGGCTAAATGAGTGACATTAGGCAAGTCGCTTAATTGCCATGTGCCTCAGTCTCCCCATATGTAACAGAGATAACAGTAGCATCCACCTCAAAGATTTACTTCGAGAAATTCATAAATACATACACGCATGCGCACGTGCACACACACACACCACCAACTGTTTACAGCATGCCTAGCATGTGGTAATCAATAAAGTTATTGGTTATTATATTTCTGTGTGGGTGATTGAAAAAATAATACATATTTGCTATAAAACAACCAGTATACAAAAAATTTTTAAATGAAAACAACGCATTACCATCCATATTCTCACTATCCATAGGCAATGGAAATATTTTGGGAAAGAAGTACAAGGTAGAAACAACCATTTGCCTATGCAATATTTATTCTTTCCTTCTTCCTTATTAACTACATCCTGATTTTCTTGTGGGTAGCAAACTATATTTCCCAGCCTTCCTTGCAAATAAGATCAGGCATGTGACTGATTTATGACCAATGAGATGCAAACGGAAGTTGTTGGGTGGGGCTTCTAGGAACAGCTGAATTTCACTCCAGTTTGTCATCAATCTTCCCCCTTCCTGCTGTCTAAAACATGGGAGTGATGGCTGAAGTTCCAGCAACCATCTTGTAAACCTGAGTAAAAAAAGCACACCATGGGAATGGTGGAATATAAAACTAGAAGGAGACTGAGTCTCTACTAAGAGCATTATAGAACAGCTGTACCTGCCAGGAACTGCTGTCTTCTGGATCTTTCATTTGGTGAGAGAAAACCTCTTGTCCAAGCCACTAGCTATTGAAAATATCTGTTTTCATATAACTAAACTAGATTCCCGAGTACTTCCATTGTCTCTACCTTGTATTAAATACTCTGTTTCCTGAATCTCATGGTTTCTTTTTTCTTGGTTGATTACCCTATATTGGTGGAGCGTGTCCCAGGTAAATTCATGAGAAAGGTATGCAACAGGCAAACTTTCTGAGATTTAAGAGTTTAGGTAAAATACTCGTTTATTTGCTACATCAAAGGTCAGAATAACAGTAGCTTAAATAAGGTAGAAGTTTATATCTGTCACATAACACTCTGAACGTAAGAACCCAAGGCTAATATGGTAAACTCCGGGCTGCTTCCACTCCTTCTATTACAGCTGCATTTTAGTCAGAGAGAAATAAGAGGTGGGAAAAACAAGCTCCTTTCTCTTTAGGATATGGCCCAGAAGTTGCATATTATCACTTCAGCTTTCATCACACTTTATAGAACCTAGTCCCATGGTCACACCCGGATGCCAGGACAGATCAGAGATACAGTCTTTTTCAGGGCGACCAATAGAAGCCATACATAATTATTAGCATAAAAGAAGAGGCCAGGCATGGCGGCTCACACCTGTAATCCCAGTGCTTTAGAAGGCCAAAGTAGGAGGATTACATGAGTCCAGGAGTTCAAGACCAGACAGGGCAACATAGCAAGACACTGTCTCTACAAAAAGTTTTCTAACAATTGGGCGGGTGTAGTGGACCCAATTTGAAACCAGGTTAATTTTGCCAGAGATTGTGTTCCTTCCTCTATACCTCTTAGCCTCCCAACATAAGCAATCCAAAATGGCCTTTCTGTGCCATATAGTTTACCACTTTTTTTTTTTTTAAGACCGGGTTTCACTCTGTTGCCCAGGCTGGAGTGCAATGATATGATCATAGCTCATTGCAGCCTCAACCTCCTGGGCTTAAGCAATCCTTTTGCCTCAGCCTCCCAAGTAGCTAGAACTACAGGTGTGTACCACCACACCCAGCTTATCTTTAAAAATGTTTTTAGAGATGGTGTTTCATTGTGTCGCCCAGGCTGGTCTTTGTCCTCCAACCTTGGTCTCCCCAAACACTAGGATTATAGGCATGAGCCACTGTGTCTAGCCTAGTCTGCTATTTTTAAGCACAAGTCATTTCTCAGGTGTACTCCCTAATAAAGTTATACCACGTGCCTTTAAAATAGAAGTAGGCCAATGCCATTGGCTACAGAGTACCATTATGGACATCAAAGTCCATTCTGAAATCCATCAAAGTCTATGTGACCTTGCAACACAGTGGAATATCAAAGCCCCATTACTGCCCTACAGTGATCACTGTGTGAAATAGCCCACTAGGTGTTCTGCAAGGCCTGTCGCCTGCCCACAGGGCAACATGCAGGGCTGCCACAGACTGTTTCTTCCTCCTGGCCACACAGTCCCCTAGCCTGGAGTGGGCAGAGGATCTGCAAGCAGCGTTTCTGGGGTGCAGGATCGTGTGCCTCCTTGCTGTGTGTAGCTGCCTGCACACTGTGGCTGCTGCTTTCTGCTCTATCTATACCCTATAGTTTTTAGACCATGGTGCTCAGATCTCTTAGGCATGTTGCTGATGGAGCAGAAATTCCAAATTTTGTGAAGTTCTCAAATCACTCACTGTTGAGAGAGTATCTGTCTAGTTTTTGAATTCTACCTATTTAAAATCTACAAACTGAGTGTTCATTTTGCAGCATCAGTAGTGGCCTTACATCATCAACAACAAACATTCACTGAAAGCCTGTTATGTCTAGGGCTGTGGGCAGCTACCTACATGGTGTAATTGGATCTCCTCTAGAATCAAGCCCTCACCCTGTGACTGTTTAATGAAGTCTAGGAGGTTATGAACCCCACAACCCAGGTGAACAGAGACATTAATTGACTCATGACTAACCAGCTTTTGACAAGGTGCTTTGCTGTGGCAAGATGTGGGGCTGCTAAATTTCACTGAAACAGGTAGCTCAAGGCACAAGTGCTCTGGGTGGTGAGGCATTGCAGTAGGAAGAATACGAGGTGGGTAGGAACACTGGAAGGAGTTTATTGAATGTGTACTGTGTGTCAGGCGTTCTGTATACATCAGCTGGTGTAAGTCAGGCTCCCCAGGAAACAGACTCTGAAATGGAGAGCTGAATGTAGAGGTTCACTGGGAAGTGATCTCAGCACCAATTCCTGAGAGGACTGAAGGAAATGGGATTGGGCAGAGGAAAAAATGAAGGAATAGTTGCAGTAGAGGTTTCAACCAATCCTTCTACAGGAAGCTGCTAGAACTGGGGTGGTCCTTCATAGGTGTCCTAAGTTGAAGTAAGGGAGTGGAACTTCATGCTCTTCCCACACACAATTGATAAGTCAGTAGATGCCAGATGCCCCTGGGGAGGGGCATAATTTTGGACTGAATACCTTCAGCTGAAGGCAATTTCTGGCCGAGGCTCAGTTGCAAACTGTTAACAGATAATTCTCTTGGCAGGAGGGGAGCCAGGGAAGAGTGCCTTGATCCTAAAAGGGTGATCTGGACCGCACACCGCAACATCCACCACACTGTATTATTTAATCCACAGGACCATCCTATGAAGTTGTCATTATAATTATCATTTCAAAATGGGGAGACTGGCCTGGCACAGTGGCTCACGCCTGTAATCCCAGCACTTTGGGAGGCCTATTCGGGTAGATTGCTTGAGCCCAGGAGTTGGAGACCAGCCTGGGCAACATGGTGAAACCCCACCTATACAAAAAATCAAAAATCAGTTGGGTGTGGTGGGGCATGCCTGTAGTCCCAGGTACAGGAGGGTAGGGTGAGAGGCTCACTTAAGCCTGGGAGGCAGAGGTTTCAGTGAACGGAGATCGCACCACTGCACTCCAGCCTGAGCAATAGGAGTGAAACCATGTCTTGAAAAAATAATTTTTTAATGGAGAAACTGAGGCTCAGGAAGTTTATCT